TTTTAGTTCATCGGCAACGACAGCGCCAAGCCTCATTCTTCACTCATCGAGGTCACTTAAGGTTGAAGACAACCTCAATTCATCTAAGGTCACCACCTTAGGCTGTCTTTCAGGATTGCTCATAAACCGACTCACTACTCCCACTGCACGTGCTTTCCACCTCCTAAAGGTATCAAAAGCATCATATTTACACTCAAGGAAATATACCTATACCTCCCTTGTAACACCGTCAATGACCGCGGTATAGTACTGTAAGCCTCCAAGGGTCGATACAAAAGCTGGTTCCCGCAGGTTCGTATGAACCAACTCCAACCCTAACTCTTCCTTTTCCAGGTCTCTCCCACCATTTGAGAGTGCCACCTTTCGTTGCTTCCCAATGATACAGTCCTCGCATACTCCAATATCGATGGACTTGAGACCTAACAATCTTCCATTTGAAATGAGTTTCCCTATCCCCTTCTCGCTCATGTGTCCAAGACGAGAATGCCATTAATTTGTGTCATTATTTATGGCCACAAAATTGATTCCGTAATCCATACTTTTCGTCATGTAGAGAGTTTCATCTATTCTCCCTTGGGCCACCACAATGGATCCTTAGGTTACCTTCCACGACTTAGTTTAAAAAACTGTCGAGTAACCTGCCTCATCCAATTGTTCAACAAATCAGATTCCATTTCACACCCAGGACATGGATCATGTCATTTAGTCTCCACTCCCCACTATTTGGTGTTCTGATTCGAACCATCCCTTTACCTACAATTTTCAGTGTCTCATCATCTCCAAGATAGACAACACCAAAATTACCCGTGGTATATGATTCCATGATTCCCAAATAACTGTATGAGTGAAATGACGCTCTTGAGATCAAAATCCATGACTCCATTGGACTGCTGACGCTCAGAATCATCGCATCGGATATCTCCTCTACTGCCGAAACCTAATCCTTCTCCGGCGCCATACATTGTCATTTCAAGTGCCCCTTGTAGTTCCAACATACAACGTGACTTGGCATCTTATCTGTCCTTGTTCTTCGGCTTCAACTTTGATCATTCTTGATCTTCACCATCTCCCTTTGTTTCAGATCTAAATTTAGTCGAGACATTCTCCCAAAGGATTAGTCAAACCGCACTCATCGTTTTCTTGTCAATCTTCTTGTACTCGGCTTCATCCGTGTCTTCAACGCCGCCTCTAGATCTTTACCATATAGGTAATATTCTATTTGCATCTTTCAAAAACCTAATTTCATTCCATCGAATACCTTGACAGCACAACGATCACCCATCTTGATTTCTACAAAGAAACCTAAGGCTCACTTGATATGAGAGCAAATCGGATATCTCCTCCGCTGCGTTTGCCCAAACCCTTATCCTTCCCTGCCCATTGTTGGACCCTAAGTCGAAATGACTAAAAGCTGAAGGTAACAACTTCCATTAGGCTGCAAAGCTTCCATGGAGCAAGAGGGTATAGCTTCCACAGGCCTTTGGACAACAAGCTCCATCAACCCTGAATTGGCGACTTCATAATATTAATGGAAGACCCCGGTACCTACATGTGTTTTATGAAAGGTTCTATGGGTCAAACGAAAGAAAAAATAGTGAGGATTCCATGTAACTCGAGGTTGTTCGGGACATATCCCCGTAGACCGGCTAGGAGTATGATGGAAACAAATCAGGGTAAGTTGCAGGTCTGATCCAGAGGCAATGGAAGAAGTTCAGAGCAAATAGAACCCGGTCCAGCAATGACGGAAGACGCTCAAAACGAATGAAACTCTGTCCATAGGCAATGGAAACGGCTGGGAGCTGGTGGAAGGAGGATACCTGGTGTTAAGAGAGGTGGAGAGAGGTGGAGGAATAACTGTAACCGTCCCTTTTAGTGGGAGATATGGTTATTCTAGCTTAGGATTAAAATTAGGGAAAAAACACAACACACACACGCACAACCAGATCAAATTGTCTATTTTCCTACTTTTCTTTCATGTTTTACTTTCATTTTTATGCAATTTAATTCCAATTACATGTTTTCTGCAATTTATTCACTTGATTTTCGTAGGTTATCGTAGTTTAGTTCGTTAATTGCGTGAAATCTGCATAACCCGATGACGGATTGGCTCTCTGGAGTACTTTAGGAACACACACCGACGACATCGATGAATTATTTTGGAACTTCCAAAATTCAGGTTCCAACAATTGGCACGCTCAGTGGGACCAAGTCGGGTTCATGTTCGTGTATGTAACTTCGTAGTGGAAAACTAATCACCATGGAAAATCATAATCAGAGCTCAGGTCTGAATATCGGTGCAGGAATTATTGGAACTGGAACGCCGGTTCATCCCAGTGGAAGCCGCACCCCAGGGCTGAGGAAAGAGGAATCATCATCGACCGAAACGATGGTGACCATGGTACGCAGAGAAATGAATCAATGTATTCAGGCTGGAATCGGGGATATCGCATACGAAATCTCTAGGCAATTGGCTGATGTGATCCAGCCAACTGTGAGGAATGAAGCGTTTCAGGTTTGTGAAGAAGAGCGTCGAGCAGCGGCTAATGGAGTCCAGAATTTTGGAATTTCAGGAAATGCATATGGAGGTCCGAGAGTACTAAATCCATCTGGTGGAGGGATTCCATCCTTCATAGGGAATGTTGGCTCTAGCTTAGGTCGGGGAAATGCTGGATCGCCTAGGGAGCAGACGAGTGGAGCAGGATTGCAGTTCAGCAATGTAACGATTCTCCCACGCCCGCAAGGAGGGCAAACCAGCGGAGGCTTTGGCCCTCAAACGGGTAGGAGGACCGGAGGTCGCGGGAAGCGGTGTTTACGGAGCCCATCCAGGGACAACATTGCCAGGGCAATTCGCAGGTCAGCCTACATGAAACGCCCCTCCACAGCTGTGGGTTCAGCAGGCTCCATATGCCGCCGTCCCTCAGGGAGGAATGCCTGGCCAAGCTTGGGGACCAGGAGGGCAGCCGCTGATTCCTAATCAGCAGGATGCCCGACCATTGATAGATATAGATATTCTAGTAGAAAGTATCCGAAGGGCTTTCCCACGAATGAAATTTAAAGAGCGACCGGTGTATCAAAGACCCTATCCAACTTGGGTAAGTGAGATGATGCCATTGCCTGTTCGAAATAAAGCACCAGATTTTACACTGTTCTAAGGTGAAGATGGGAGATCAACAATAGAGCATATTGGAAAATTTATAGCTCAGTGCAGAGACTTGGGAGGAAATGACTGGTATCTTTTGCAGTTATTTTCTTTATCTCTAACGGGTACTGTGTTTTTGTGGTATACGTCGTTGGCTCCAGGTACCGTGCAGTCTTGGTCAGATTTGGAGAGGCTTTTTCATGACCGTTTTTATGCGCCGCTGGTGGAGACTACGATATCCCATCTGGTAGCTGTAAAACAGGGGTATGAGGAGCCTGTGGTACAATTTTTGGAGAGATTTCGGCAGGCTAAAATGCGGTGCACGGTGCAAATTCCGGAGCAGCAGGCAGCTGCGATGGCAGTGGATAATATGCTGTCAGACCTCCGGGATCGGTTAGGGGTTCAAGATTTTCAGGATTTTTCACATTTAAGTGTGTTGGCAATGAGAGCAGATAAGTTTATTCGAGAGAGACGGGATGCTGCAGTTGGTAGGTGGAAGAAAGATGGAAAAACCGGAGTGACATGCTGTGCAGATGATGAAATTTCAGCCAATGAGGAATGCTTTGAGGAACAAGATGTATTGCCCGCTGAATTGCTGAAAGGAAAAACATATTCTTGTTTTGCATTAAGGCCTACAAAGGGAAGGAGATTGGAGGTGCACAATATACCTTCGATGTGTCTAAGGTTGAGCAGATATTTGATCATTTGTTGAGGGACAAACAAATCAAACTCCAGGCCATCACCAGAAGAGCTGAAAGGGAAAATGTACTGCAAGTGGCATGGGAGCTATACATATGCTACCGCCAATTGTACATACTTATGGAATACAATCCAAAAGGCCTTAGATAAGGGCAGATTGAAATTAGTAGAAAAGAGTATGCAAGTGGACGCAACTCTGTTTCCTGCTCCATTCATTAACACCATGTCCACAAGAGGTCCCAAGAGACAACACAAAGGGAAGCAACCGATTAGGCAGCCAGTTCATGAATGACTCGGACCTAGGATACCACAACAGGGTTTAGTCTTTGATATGCTAGCTGTAGGAAAGCCACCTGATGGAAATGGTGGAAGTAAGAAACCTAGAGTTGTGGAGTGGAACCCCAATCTGAAAGTGACGATTCCAAACGCCAGGGAAGTTCGGGAACGCAATAACGTGATGACAAAAGTCACAACTCCAGGCTCAAATATCAAGCCAGATGCCATTGTGGCTGAGGTGAAAATCACTAGTGGAAAGGGAGTTTGGACTATTATATCCGCCGATCAAATTACCATTACCCCAAAAACGACGCGGAAACCTCCATCAATAGAGATTCGGAGAAATGGACAATCAATGTGCTGGAGCAAATGCCAAGAGGGAAATGGGTGACCTCACGCGCTCCCAGAAAAGAAGGGCACAAAGGAAGCGATTACAGGCTAAGTTGGAAGCTGAAGGTATTTAGCTAGATCAGAAAAGTGCGGGGGCAAAGGGTAAGAACATTGAATCAGAGGTTCAGCAAGCAACGAATCGGGACGAGAAAGCCTCGAAAGTTTATGAACAAAAGGAAAGGCCTCGGAAAAATCAAGAGTCGCAACCTTGCCTGATTTTTTCTACGCCAAACTCCGGACCCGTTCTAAATTGGCAACGCCGATGGGTGCTGAAAACTACACAACCGAAGGAGTGTGATGTTAAAGGTGGCCAATTATCAGTTGTGGGGTTACTGCCGTCTGAGTTCAAGGCTCCAGAAGGGGAGCAGAATTATGAAGGAGTGACCGTAGATGAAGAGCCAACTGCAGAATGGAACGATGTAGTGACAATGGTCATATTTGATCGAATTGGGTCCGGACAGAATAAACATGTGAAGCCCTGTACATTCGAGCTTTAATGGAAGGACGACCAGTGAGCAGAGTACTGATAGACGGCGGCGCATTTGCTAACCTGATGCCGTTTCAGACATTCAGAAAGTTAGGGAAAACAAAGGACGATTTAATACCAACCTCAGTGCGAGCTACATATTTTATGGGAAACTCATACAAACTAGCGGGAATTGCTACCGTTGAGGTGCAAGTCGGCACAAAGAAGTTGCCCTTAGCGTTTGTGATAATAGACAGCCGCCCTTCGTATGCAGCATTGTTGGGGCAAGATTGGATTCACGCTTGCGAGTGTGTCCTGTCGACTTTGCACCAGAAGTTGTTGTTTTGGGATGATGATTAGGTTCAAGAGGTAGAAGCAGAGAATGATCCATTCGCAACGGAGGTCATAGCTGTAGATGCGACTTTCTACTATTCGAAGATGATTCCATTGTCGGAAGTGATCGCCTCCATTCCTAACGAGGGAAATTATGAATGTGTGTTTAGCGATAACCAGTTCAGAATTCAAGCGAGGGCCGATTCACGGCCTATGAGTGAAGAAGATTATGATGAATTTTGAATGCGACGAAATTCAATGTGAGCCGCCCGGAGTAGGCTCCATTGTGAATACAGAGCCGTTCAGAGCAGGTTCCACATAAGGTAGTAAGTGGCTCGAAACAGACTCTATTACAAGTTCAGAGCCGTCCAGAGCTGGCCATTTGGAAAACCTTGGGCCGCCCGAAATAGGCTTTGTTACGCAACCTCCAGAGCTAGCCAGAGTAAATCCCGTGGAAGGAGCAAACAACTTAGAGGAAAGTCCATTGGCAGTTCAGAATCATCCAGGGAAATTTTCGATGAAGTAGAATTACCGTCACCCGTGCACAAAACATATCCAGCGTTCCAGGCCCAAGATCCGCTGGAGGATGTTGATTTGAGTATCGATGGAGTTCCACGGGTCACCAAAGTTAGTGCATTGTTAACATTAGAAGATCGAGCTACCTTGGTAATACTTATAAAGGAATACCGGGATTGTTTCGCTTGGGATTATGATGGAATGCCAGGCTTGGCTCGAGAACTCGTGGAACATCGGCTACCTATGAAAGTCGGATACAAACCCCACAAGCAGCCGCCGCGAATGTTTAATCCAGATGTGTACCCAAAGATCAAGGAAGAAATTCAGCGGCTTTTAGGGGCAGGATTAATTCGGACTTGTCGATACCCGGAATGGGTTTCCAATGTTGTCCCCGTACTCAAGAAAAATGGCATATTGTGGGTATGCGTCGATTATCGCAATCTGAATTTGGCAACACCTAAAGATGAATACATTATGCCTATCGCCGATATGTTAGTGGACGGAGCCGCCATGAACGGGAGTCTGTCATTTATGGATTGGTATTCCGGTTATAACGAGATTTTCATAGCCGATGAGGATGTTGCAAAAACGGCATTCCGATGCCCAGAGGCCCTTGGAGTATATGAATGGGTGGTGATGCTGTTTGGGTTGAAGAATGCTGGAGCGACTTACCAGCGAGCAATGAATACCATATTTCACGATTTAATTGGGCAGTCGATGGAAGTTTACATCGATGATATAGTGGTGAAATCCAAGAGTTTCTTGGAACATCTAGTGGATCTCGAGCAAGCTTTCCGGCGAATGAGGCACTATAATTTGAAGATGAATCCAGTGACGTGCGCATTCGGAGTGGCCTCCGGAAACTTTTTGGGTTTCATGGTGCATAATAAGGGTATCGAGGTGGATAGTAACAAAAGGAAAGCTATCATCAACGCCCGACTGCCTGAGAATCTGAAAAAAGTTCAAGGATTCCTTGGACAAGTCAACTTTTTGCGAAGATTTTTTTCAAACGCTACAGGCAAGCTTAAAGCTTTTTCCACACTACTCAAGTTACGAAAAACAGAGGAGTTTGTGTGGAAGCCGCCACACCAGCAGGCTTTCGAAGCTATTAAGGAAGCCATGGCCAATCCACCGGTGTTGATGCCACTGCAAGCAGGCAAACCTCTATGCTTGTATGTTACGGCCACTGAGAATACGGTCAGTTGCTTACTGGCGAGGAGATTCCCGATAGAAGCGAGCGTGCCATTTTTTACCTTAGTAAAGTAATGAATGATACGGAGACAAGGTACACTCCTATGGAAAAATTGTGTCTCGCCTTATTTTACACCTGCACGAAACTTGAATATTATTTGGCTCCGAAGGAGACGGAAGTGGTGTGTCATGTCAATATTTTGAGATATTTATTAAGCAGGCCAGCTTTAAGAGGGAGACAAGCGAGATGGGCTGTAAAGCCGGCCGTATTTGATCTATGGTATGTGCCAATTAAAGCTGTTAAAGGGCAGGTCATTGCTAATATTTTGGCAGATCATCCGAGCTCGGTATTTAACCAATCGGCTGATCGTATGGAAGTTGTTATTAGTCCGATGCCATTGATCTTGAAGTTTGATGGTTCTAGCACACAGACCAGCGCTGGAGCTGGGGTCTTTATTGAGAGCCCATGGGGAAAAAAGTGGACCGTTTCCAGATTATTGGCACCTGGATTTACTAATAATCAAGCAGAGTATAAAGCTTTATTAGTTGGACTAAGGATTCTCCATAAAAATGGAGCTAAGGCGATCAGAGTTCAAGGCGATTCACAATTGATTTTGAAGCAAATTTCCAGTGAGTTCCAATGCAAAGATGAAAAAGTAAGAAGCCTTCGAATGGAGGTAGATACTATGTTGCAGAATTTTGACGATGCAATTGTGGAATTCACACCTCGCGCTGAAAACGGAATAGCTAATGATTTAGCTGAAGAAGCCTCTGGGTATAAGTCATCCGCCGTAGGAAAATTCAAGTCAGGGCGAGTATGTCTGTGCTCAGTGAAAGTGGAGGATTGATATATGGAACTAAGAAAATATTTGGAACAACCAACCGGCGAAACTCCTGAAAAGCTACGGAGGAAGGCTCTGAAATATACTTTGATTGACGAAGATCTTTTTCGCAGAGCCGCCGATGGAATGTTAATGAAATGCGTAGATACTCAAGAAGCCATGAAGGTGATGGGTGAAGTGCATGAAGGGATTTGTGGAGCACACAGATCCGAATTAGTCATGAGATGGACGATCCGACAGTATGGGTATTTTTGGCCATCAATGACAGAAGACTGCATCAAGTATGCTGAAGGATGTGAAGCGTGTCAGCGACATGGTTCTTTGATCCGAATTCTAGCGGAAGAAATGCAAGCAGTGGTGAAGCCATGGCCATTCCGGGGATGGGCGATGGATATCATTGGGAAGATCCATCCGCCATCCTCCAGACGACACTTGTTCATATTGTGGCCACAGATTGTTTCACAAAGTGGATAGAAGCTGTACCATTGGCCAACGTAACATATCAGGAAGTGATCAAGTTCATTAAGGAAGACATTATTCACCGGTATGGAATCCTGCAGACGATTACGGCCGATCAAAGTACTATTTTTACCAGCGATAGAGCGGCCGCCTTCGCCGCACAGTACCGGATTGCTCTTTTGCATTCGTCTCCACATTACGCGCAAGCGAATGGGCTGGCCGAAGCAGCCAACAAGGTCTTGATTCGGGTAATTAAAAAGGCCGTGGAAGATAACCCGAGAAGATGGCACGAAGTGTTAGGGGAGGCTTTATGGGCTTGTAGGCAATACTAAAATAAAGCCATTGGTTGCACTCCATTCCAACTGGTCTACGGGCATGAGGCATTATTGCCATTGGAAATCACGGTGCCATCGTTACGAGTGTTGAAGTAGAATTCGCTCAGCCCCGAGCAATACGACACAACTATGTTACAAAGGTTGGACGATGTACATGAGGATCAGATGATGGCCTTGGAGAATATCAGAGCGAATAAAGCAAAAGTATCACGAGCTTAGGACAATTGTTTAAATCTAGTAGGACAATTGTGCATGATTAATTTGGTTATTTAAACAAGTGTAGTATTGGTTTTAACTTTTGCATAACAGGTGTAGAAGACCGGATTTAGTTTAGTTAGATTAGCTGTGTTTTGAATTATTGTAATATAAGTTCTAGATCAGCCATGATGGATGTCTAACCCTTTGATTATTTGTAATTTAATCCCTTCTTTTATTTAGTTAGCTTTGGTTTAGTGTATGTCCTGCTCATCATTTCATCAGATTTATTCTGGTCTGATGACCTGTTGCATGTTGTTACCCTTTTGTTTTAGCCTGGATTTGTAAATTAATATAGTTGTTGTGTGATTAATTATATAGTTGATAGGTGAATTAGTTTATTTAATATAATCCTTAGTGGTTGCATATCTTGATAGCTTAGTTAAAGTAGTTCTTTGTTCGATTTTGATTTATGTTAATTGTTTAGTTTAGATAGATAATCAGACGACACATTTAATTAATTAGTATTATTTTTTATCTATTCTATTGCCTGAATTTTATTTTATTTTTTCTTTTTTAAGCCACTATAAATAATGGTGTTAACGTGGACTTAATAAATTTTGTCTTAAATTATTCATATTTATTTAATTTATGCTGCTCTCAATTTCGGAATGTTTTATAGAAGATTCTCTATTCGGATCAATACATACCAAACATGTACATAAACTCCAAACACAGATATGGAAATAATGAATATGGAGATGTTAGAAAAGGAAATTAGAAAAAAATATATGAAAAGAAGTAGGAAAATGATAAAGAATGAAAACGAAAATATTAAATAAGGAAAATTAAGTGGCTCCGGAAAATCGATTTGGCTAAAAACGTTGATGGATCGGTAGCTCTCATGATGGTCACATCAGAAGGTATGGTAATCGGATGCGGTAAACTTCAGATCTACTTCCCCGGTACATAAAATAGTTTCGCCTTTTCAATCCACTAATTCTTACCAACTGATTCGCATATCTAACCTTTCCACAGGTTGAAGTATTTTATTTATGCTCCAGAAGTACCCTAATTCTTATGTTTGCTACTCCAATTTATGTTTGACTGGTTTTCGATCTCTTGTGCTCCGGATGAATAAAATATTATTGCAAGGTAGGGATCTGTAAAAGTACATAATGTTTTAAATCATGCATTGATTGGATTCTAAGTCTAAATATTTTTGTTGCAAAATCCACAAATTGTCGGAGCTTCTCGACAATGCTTGGATGAGGTACCTTTGATGCCCTTATATCTTTTAAAAATCCTTATATTTCGTCAATTGCTTGATCAGAAATACACATACTTTATAATCAGTGTTGATGTGTTTGAGACCAGTACTAATAGCAGTTCAAGGTGTGAATATATATATATATATGTATATCTGTTTGCAGCGTAGTTTGATATGATGTGTGAGAGAGGGGATAATGTATTTTTTCTAAGGATTTTTGGGATTGCATGGTAACAAAATTGAGAAAAAAAATGGTTGATGAACAGAGTATATCTTAGCAATATGGAAATTTTTGGGTCGAACATTTAGTATGTCTTGAGTAGAATTTTCAAGCTGTCTCGACGATGTTGTTCTTTATTGTGTTTGATCTTGTTGTGTAAGAATACAAGATTTAAGTTTCTTCGTAGCACTTGTTGCTCTAAAGTTGTCAACGGTGAGAACAGATCAAGGTCCAGTTTTAATTATATATATATATACTATATATTATGTAAAGGAAAAGAATTGGAGATAACAGGTTTACCTGTCCTAATGTCTCAGTTATCCATTGGTGGGGCAGGATTTAAGAACATATCAGGTTCGGGCCTTGAAAAGAAATGAAACTGCCATTCTCTTCGATGAATCAATTTCATTTCGTGCTTCATCATATATTTTATCAAGCTTTCTCGTTTGCCTTGCATAGAGTAGTAAGTGTTTATGGTGCGACCATGAATTTTGTAAGAGGGATGCTAAGATACTAGAACAAAGAAATGGACCTACGTATATTTTCTAATAATAATATATATATATATATTCTTTCAACGTAACAAAAGTAAAGACTTATTTTCGACTCTTGAGCTATTGCTATATATGTTGATTTGCATATACATGTTACATGTGTTAAACAAGAGTAGTTTAACTCACCAACATCTTAGACATAATAAATGTTACAGACTGTGCAACATTGATGACATCTTGAGTGTTGTATTGCATGCCGAAAAAATGGAAAAAAAATGTAAAATTTAAAGGAGAAAACGACAAAATGGAAAACAATCTAATGCAACCAATCATTTATATTCATATAATGGAGTCGCATAATGTGGTCTAGAAACTGAATTTGTTATCTCAATTAAAACAGCCAATTACAACATATAAAACATTTAGAAGATGAGAAAGATTAGCTACTTTTGTAAAGAGATTCAGTAATATTATCCGAATCAAATTAAAAAAATGCTGCAAACTAAGCTTTGGAGTTCTGTCATCTCTTATGCGACAATAATAAACCTTAATACAAAACTACTCCTATATATTTAATATATAGGAAAGTTTACAATGTGCATTTATATCAATCCTTCCCTCCCCCAACTATAACTATAACTAACGAACTACTCAACATATTAGGGTTTACGTTTGGCAGCTAGCGGCAATGGTTATGGCGGCACGCATTTGCTGTGGCATCCAGCTTCTTCACCTTCTCCAGCAACTCGTCAATGGTTTCCGTAGCCTCCTGTTGTTGTCGAGTCCATAAAAAACACACAGGAGGTCAGATTACATTAATTAATCTCACCATACCATACCACAGATCCATTCTCTTCTATCTGGTTAGACCTACCTGTAATTTTTTCCTCATTGCCGCTTCATATTCATTGCGTCGCCTTCTTTCTTCTGAAAATGAGCTCAAAAACATTTCCTCTTCTCGATCCAACTGTTCGACCTTTCGATTTGCCTCTTCGAGCTGCACAAAGCCATAGCATAGCACATTTGTTAATTGATCGATGGATGGAACGCTCTATTGTGCTATTCAATCTGTGTTTACCTGAGTTCGTAGCCAATTGTTCTCGTCCTTTTGGTACTGTAGATCTTCCAGAGCATTCCGTAGACTGCAAATCGAAATCGAAAATTTCTAGTGAATTTTGGTGTTCTGTGGTTAAATAAACTCGGTATATTGAAAATTTCAGTATTTTATATATCCATCAAATGTTTACCTAATTGTCAATTTTTCGTTCTCCAGTTTAAGCTTATGAACCTCATCACTTGTAGTATAATAAAAAAATAGTATTCAAGAAAAGATTGAATTGCAACAAATATGCACCTTCACCAAACATATTTGTTATTGAACTTTTACAATATGAATGTATTTAATCTAAACTAAAAGTTTTTTAAAATTTAGAAGTATTATCAAAAGTCTTTTAAAAATTTAAAGGTATCCAACAATCAATAAACTTTAAAAACTTATGAATTTTATTAGATTTCAATATAAACTTATGAAAAATTTGTATGATGTTAAATCTCTCATATAAACAGAGATTTTGATTGATTCTTGAAAATTTATTATTATTATTAATATTCAAATAAGTGATAAATATTATATTAATATTATTATAATCTTTTAATAAAAATAATAATTGAAAAACACATTATACTAACGAATTACTATCGATTTTTAAAAAATATTTATTTTTATATTATAAATATAATATTTAAAAAAACATTACTTTTTTATTATAATAAATATGAATTACTGTTATTCTCTCTTTTTAATTATCAAATACACTATATCCGGTGAAAGTAGACTACATTTTATATATTTTTTTTTGAACCGTTAATTTATATTTATTTATTTTTAAAAATCTGTGTTTTTTTTTTAAAAAAAATCATAAATTTTAATCTTAATTTTATTTTTATATTTGTTTTTAGGTAAAAATTTATCAACGAATAATAATTATATAAAATAAAATAAATTGATATATTAAATGATAATAAAATAAGTTTATAAAATAAAAAATATTAATATACAACAATAGTATTATCTTACAATATTTATACATCATTAATTATTATAGAAAGCATATTTATTAAAGAATGTTGAATAATTTTTTCAATCTAATAGGAAGATCAATATTTTTCACATCTGGATATGGAAGATGAAAATTTACAATTTCTTTTTTAAACTAAACTATAACAAATAACAAAAGCTAATGCATAAATTAGTATTACTAATACTACATGAGAAATGAGTTTGAAGTATAATGAAAATGAAAATGATGAGAATGAAGATGAAAATAATAATAATAATGATGAATAATATTGTATTTTTTTATTTAATAGTTTGAATATATATACATTTTTTTCTTCTACAAGTGTGTTTTATATAAGTTTATAGAATTATATAAATCAATAAATAAATAATTTTATAATCCTATCAAATTCATAAATAATCCAATCTAATCCATGAAAATTTATCTAAATCAATTAATAGAATTCACCAAACTCTGTATAGACTATATAAATTTAGAAAATCTATACAAATCTATAATTTTTTTTTAAAATTCAATAAAATCCTATCAAATCTCAAATAAATGCACCCTCTTCGTGCTGGCTTTTCCAGTTTCTACAACACCGGGATACCTTCAATTTCCCTACCACTAAACTCAAAGAAAAATGCCATATTTACAACAGACTAAGATCAGAACAATAAGTCAGTGCAACCATTTTTAATTCATCAATTTAGATCTGTGTTATTTCTCATTTTTAAGGCTTTTAAAACCATAGAAAA